GCTCGTAAGACCGAAGGGCGCGCTTCACGCGCCCCCAGGCGGCCCCACGAGGAAACCCTACCCGTTTAAGTAGCAGATAAATACGTTGTCAGGTCGACCACAATTATTGCCTCTTGTTCTTTTTAAAGCCACTCTAACATATTCGTCGTCTTTTTGCTCTCTCTCTCTCTCTCCGTAGACATTAAAAAGCGCCCAGTGGATGCCTCCAACCGCCTTAATTTGAGTGGTTGGCTCTGCATGCAACACAACCTAGTGAACGAGAAACTGAAAAAGCCGCTGTTTGACTGTTCCAGGGTGCTGGAACGTTGGCGTTACGGCTGGGCAGATGGCTCCTGTGACCTGTCAGTGGAGGAGGGAAAGTAGACCTACCACCATCATCCTCAGGTCCAAACTAGTTCCATCTCTTTTTTAGGCTTGGATACCTCAAATAGAAACCTTTTTACACTTCTCTTGTCTCTACACAGAACATGTTTTTGTTGTCTTCATGGCCGATGAGAGCGAAATGGCCGAAAAGGAACTCTATAGGGAATAATAAAAATTTGTAACCGATGGGTTTAAATGCGACAGGTAATTAGCTGCCCTCCTCGTAGTCCGCAGCGCTGAGCCGGTCGTGGGATATGGCACTAGTCCTGTCGCCTACCATACTAGGATGACACTGTCTACGGAACCGATCCAACTCGTCTAATTCTCTAAAGCCTTAGAAAGCGCCTATGGACCCGACACAGTATTTCTATATTGCCACAAAGGCTCGCGTGTATTGCGCAACCGTTCAGTCTGTCCTTCTCTATGGTTGTAAATACGCAGATGTAAGAAAACTGGTGGTATTTGACAACTGGTGCCTGAGAACCATTCCCCAAATGTAGTAAACCGACTTCGTCTCAAATGAGACAGTTCGCGCTCGCTACGACAATGCAAAGATATCCCAGGCCATCCAAGAAAGATGACATTGGTCCTTTCCACCTTGCCGGTCTACTACGTTACAAAGACTGTCCTGTGTTGCGG